ATAGGCCTGCTTTAATAGCTGAAAAAGATGTGTATAAGAGACAGTTTGGAACTCAGTGCACCTAAGTTCTCCATTATTTGGAAAATCTATAATACCACTTTATAACAAACGAACGACAATTGTAATATAAGATCTTAAACAACCACTTAATAAACATGTCCCTACAACTCTTCAGAAGATAGCACAATAGTAGCTATGCGGGCCTTTTATACTTGGTGCCATTGATATTATGCCCCTACATCGGGCTGTACAGATGTACAACACAACGTTCACTCGACTCTCAAAGAATCGACAGTGCAAACAAACCTTGGAAACGTACAAGAGTGAAAGTAGCTAGAATCTTTCTGTTTAGAATAGCCAGTGGTTAGCCGAAGGCGGCAGATATTTGTTTTTTTAAGTATCTTTACTATATCGTGCTTGAAACGAGCACATATTCTGCTAATAATATTGTCAATTGGAGGGGCAGTTGGCAAGTACTTTCGCATCTACTGCTGCAACGCGAATACGGTTTTGCAAAACGTATTTTATTTGGTAGGAATTATAATATTATTAGAAAACATGTCTATGGTAAAATTACACACGGTTGTGTTTTCATCGTAATTTTTTAAAACATACACGTGTCTTGTGTACAAAACATGCCGAGAATGAAAGTGTGTTTGGTCTGTTGAAGATCTGTAGGCCCTAGCTCAATAACCAACAGTATGGCCGGCGGAATCAAGGGGCACGGGCCCCCCACTTCTTGGCAGAAAATATATGATGTTTATGCAGATTTTGGTATGATCGGAAAGAAATACTATAGTGGGCCCCCATTTTGAAAAACGTTCCGCCGGCCCTGAACAACCTCCCGTCAGCTACGAAGCTGAGGATTACGCGGCATTCCCACTTAAAAGCAATCGAGTTTGCTGTACGTTTTACGTTAGGAACTTCTCGAACCCGCTGCTGCAACAGGTGTTTTATGCTATGAGTAATTCCATTAGCCTGCCACAAACTTAAACTTAACCTCAGAGAACTTATATCTTGCGAAGAAATCTGCGCGCCAATGTTTTTTTCTATATTCTCCTCATGATACTTACATGCGACAGTTGTGCGCACGGTTTAATTCTTTAACATTGATCAACACCACGATTAGATCAAAGGGTTACGTAAGTTCGAATTTTAATCAATTTGGAAATTCGGATCGAATATGATTTTTATGTTATGTTTTAAGTTCACGATGTCCCGCTGGTGGCTTTATTTCGTCAAGATATTAAGCCCCAGGCGAACAATTTCGGGCAGTAATTGAGTCTTATTGGAAGAACATGGACTATTATGAAGAGAAAATATTTACAATGATAACCTTAACAACTGCGACAATGTCCAGTGTTGCAGCCGCAGCGTGGTGACCAATCGCGGCAGCTTGTTAGCCAGCTTCCTGTTAAGTTTGAAATATTTCTGGGACTTTCTACTACATAATATTACATAGATAAACGTTTTAAATTTACACTAGAGAGTGAGCTGACAGATACGTGGATATCTAATTGCTTGCATTGTAGGCTATTAAGCTATTAGTAAATTTCAATACCGAACATTAGAACGAAAAATATTTTTTTCTTCGAATAACGTATATTATGCCAATGCAGGACCTACATTTCATCTTGTATCCCGTGGCAAAATGTACGGTACTAATACCTGTATTAATTATCTTTGCATCAAGTTGTAAATTCGCTGGTACAGTAATCGATTTAAAGGCAAGCTCAGGGGAACACATTTTTGATAGGCCGATGTTGTACACTGGAGGGGTGTTTGAAGAAATAGTCGGAAACGGCTATATGATAACGTATTTTCGAATGTTTAAAAACTGGTGAAAAGGGGTGTTGCGCCCATTTTTAAAGGATTTTCGTAGTAAAATGACGAACATCGGTGAGAAGTGAAATGTTTTATTCTGTGTTTTATACAATATCTGACCCTTTAAAAAAACAAATATAATAATAACGTGTCATAAATAACAAAATATTCAAATTAATTATAAAAACATATAGGGCCAATGTAAATATATAAAAATAAAATACAAACTTGGCATAACACCAGCCATTTGGACATATCTGGGAGATACGTTCTAAACTAACAATTGCCAAATTTTAAAACCTACACATTTAACTGCAGCTGTAATCGTTATTTTTATATGCATATTCAGCTAGGCCTAGAGAAAATAAGTGAATACAAACAAGGCAATCGATTGCACTCGAAACAATAGGCTAAGGGGCTTCTATGCAAATTCAAACACTTCTAGTAAGTGCTTGAATGACTATGTTTACCTACAAGGGGCCTACGTACGTCCCTAACACCTACAGTCCATATCCAACACTTATTCTGGTCACAAGTCCTAAGTAACCACGTTTAAAAAAAAAGAAACATACACTACCTTAATATTAATTATGGATCAAATATGTTCGTATCAGTCCGTGTTAGGTTATTTAGTCCAGTTGTAGTTCAAATAGCTATATGAATGTGTCCGTTTGCTGGTTGGACAACTGGGTGGACCAAATCCGACAGATGACGTGAGCGAGGCGGCACACAGTGGCTCACTGAACACAACTGGTCTATGCGCGATTTTATATACACATGTTAAGACTGACCTCGGTTCAATAGCTTATAGAGGTCACACAAGCAGAGCGAAGTATGTGCAGCGTGGGTCAGTGACCGATGCGATTGCCTATTCCTTCCAATGATACGTCGATACACCGATTCCAATAGAATACTGAAGCGTGTCGAACTATTGTCGCTAATCCATAAATCAGTACCTACAAAAAAAAAAGAAAAAAAAAAGCAGAAGTCAAAAATCAAACATGGTTAGACCATTGAGTCAGACCTTGGTCCAATCAAAATCGCAATTTCTAACTCGTATTTAAAGTGCAGCAATGTTGGCTCCTCCTAAACCCAGGGTAGTAGAAGTGATACCTGACATTTCTACGCATGTTATGTTTGCTGTCTCTTATACATATGTATATAATATATATATATGTATATATAATATATATATTATATATAGGCCTATAATATATGTATATAATATACGGTATATAATATGATATATAATGTATATGTAATATATATGCCTTTATATAATGGGGGAAGGGACCCCAGTACAGCACACGGAATAATGCAATATACTAATTGAAATGTAACAAGAGAGGACTATATTAAATTAGTTTATTGATAAAATTGTTAGAAAATATATATTTTCTTTAGCCTGCGGGAAAGTTTATTAACATCTACCGTTATAATAAAGAGCCTTTTGAGAAGTAAACTATTCCCTAAAGGATTGTAGTCACCGGCAGAATAGCTACGCTGACAAATTGCACAACAACATTAATCATTTGTACATTTGACGAAATACCCACTCTGAAACAAATCCTTATCGTGTCAGATAGGAAACGACTAATTAGTTGATTTTTTTTCCTGGGGATAATTTTGAGAACTTCGATAAATTTGTCCTAATTTTTTTGTCGACATTTCAGCTACATTAGAGTACACTGAATAAATCATAGTTCAGTTTCGCTTCCCACGGGTTATCAACAGAGATTTGTACAGTACCAACAGTCAATGAGCCCGAGGCGATGCTCAAACCAGTAGCGAATGTGATGTCACGGAAATATTATTACGAGTATGGGCATAGATTTCTGTGACGTCATCTTGGCTAAGCAATTTTCTCAGAGGATGTTGAATGGAGATCGTGTCAGATTAAATTATGTATTACTCCGCATTCTGAGATCACCTGAATCACTGAATAAGGAGTTCAGCGAGGAAATGATGTGCTGATATTGTTAGACCCACAATGTTACAGGCTGCACTGTGGCCTTTTGACCGATTGTAGGCCCACAGTTTACGTTATAGGCCTGCTTTAATAGCTGAAGACTCCATGAGCAATGTAACCTAATAATAACTTTTAAAAATGAAATGCTCTAGCCCCTATTTGTATATTTTCATGAGTTATTATATATAACTGAAAATTAGAAGAAAAACATTATCGTCAATTAACAACGTTTAAATAAACCCATTTCAACCTGTCTTTGTATGCCCCATCTTTATATTTCTAGTAGCAAAATAAGGGATTGTTCGTAGTTAGAATATTTATAACCTCTTGTATTTTATCTGTGACTTACTGAAAGTTGAAGACTGGTTAATTTAAATGAGTAATTTATATATATTTTTTTGTTTAGATTTCTGGGTTTTTTTTGGTTTTTTTTGGCAGTATCTCTTTTAAAAAGGTTAGCTCTACGGTAAATAGAAATAAGGCCACAGTGGATAAAAAGTATAAATTAGTCTAGAGTCAGGCCTATTAAAAAAAGCGTATGAAGCACTGTAAACTGTAAATTTTGTTAAAATTCATTCTATTATATACATGTAATGAAAAGTTGTTTTTACACAGTCTGTAACAAAATCGAAACGATCTACCATAGTTTTTTTCCATCGTCATCATAAGTTGCGCCCTCAGTCAACATATAGTCAAATATCAATAATTTATTGGTTAGGTGGAACAAGTGTTTTAAACGTAACAAATAAATTCATTTTATAATTATTTATTTTTAAAAATTTATTTAAAAATAATAATAAACATTATTTTTAACACACAAAAAAAACACCCTGTTAAGCCGGGCACTGACTGCGTCGTACGACCGTCCGCCGACGAACCCATCTCCGCCCCCTGTGAGCACTAGGTGACACAGCGTCGTCTGCTGATTGTGTGTGATGAATGTCTGAACTAATTGTTGAAAACGATCCTCTGCACGCTCGTTGTGGCACTGCGTTCTCCATAAAATCGCCTAGGCCGACGACCGTCAGTGAGTAACCGGGGGTATTCTTTGTATAACTCTTTTGAAAAATTACGTTTAAAACAAAAACGAGTTTCTAGGCCTAAAAAACATTCAGAAAAACTATGGACGTAAGTTAAGTTGTTTGGGTTCATTGACATTATGTACACTAGTCATTAGCCACAACCACTCGTCCACTTGAATCTCTGAAGCAGGATTTTGATAATCATAGACGAACCAAGTTTAGATTAAAACCCCCTAAACCTCTGAAATCGATAAAACGGCCGATGAGGAAGTATATAAAATAAAAGCAAAAACAACGTACAGTAGTTGCTATAGAAAATAGTAAATACGTTATGGACCACTGCCATTTTAATTAAAGGTCTCCACCCCTCCCCACCCCCCACCACCCCCCCCCCACCAACCACACAAACAAAATTTTGGAGTTTGAGGTTTTCATGGTCTTGATCAGCTTTGGTCTTTAATTAGAAAAAGTATTCTTATAAAAATCAGACGTTATAAAAACGTTTTCATAAGTGGATAAAGAAGTCTGAAAACAAGCCCAGTTCATAGACTGGATGCGTGCCTGACTGTAACTATTTGAGAGGCCTACATACGGAACGGATCCTACACGCATAAAGAAGTGTGTTTCAGTGGCGTATTTAGAACACATACGCCCCCGCTCCACCAAATTAAAAAACTCGCTTCACCGCCACCCCGTCGGCCCCATTCAAAATGTTCGAAGCAAAAAAAAAATACGCTCATGCAGGTAAAAGTCACCTCACATCACCTTATTTTTGCGAGTTAGCTCTTCCTTCCCTTAATCATCGAGTCCCCACCTCCCCCACCCCAATTACTATCGTAGATCCCACCAGTTCCCCCATTTCAAGGCTCGTAGATATACGTCATTGGTGTTGTGATAAACTTAATGCTGATACAATGTATGAAAAGTCTGCAGCTCCTGTGGA